AAAAACTTCATAGTAAAGGCCTCAGAGTTGCTTTGGGAGTGCCAAAGTTTGCAGCGAGCATAAAGGTGCTGCATGAAGCTCGTCTTCCGCCGTTACGTCTTCCCGCCTCTCAATGACTGCTGACACAATTTTGCTGACTTGGCGAAACGAGCCCAGAAAGAGCACTACTCAGTCACCTTCGGTGACGCACGGAATCGCGAGCTTTCATGGCCCTCAACACCCTTCGTCATCTTATCATCGATTTTCCCAAACAAAGACAACTTCGACAAGACCCACCTTGGTCACAAGAGGATGTCGACTGTCAGGTGACGATCCCACGGATGCACAGCAAGCGTTCCACACCCACAGCAAAATTGCGTTTTTTGGTACTTGAATATACTGAAGAAATGTACGCCGATCATTTGAAAGTTTTCACCGATGGATCAGTCGACATAGTGCGCGGAGCAAGCGCTACAGCGTTTGTGATCACGCCTATAATGGCGTCCTGGGAAGCGCGACTCGAGTGCGTTGTTTCATCGACAGCAAGTGAAAGCGTGGCAATTCAGGCAGCTCTGAAGAAACTGAAGCTTTTTAGGCAGCAACAAGTCGTGCTGTTATAGCACACTTGTTATACCACACACCTACTTTCCTATTCAGTTTCTTTTTCAATTGTGTGGGCACTGGCAACACTTTCGGTATGCGCCTTTTGACTGCTGGGGCCTCTAACCTACATTTTATTGTTCTAAATATTTATTTGTTACCTACTATGTAACAGGGAAAATCAGAGTGTTAAGAGTTAAAAAAAGATGCCTAGTCATACCAAAAATATTGGAAAAACAGAAGATTGATCTTCGCTCACACTGATCTAACCATTGCAATCGGTACTGTATGTCATAGTTCATGTTTACTATTGTCAATCTTCTAGGGTTGTATGCTATGTACAATAAAATAGTTGATGTGACTATTTGGTTAAGTGTGTAAGATTTGGTTTAGCGTGTAAGGTACTCGGCTGCTGACCCGCAGGTCATGGGATCAAATGCCTTTGGCGCCGGCTGCATTTTCGATGCAGGCGAAAATGCTGCGGGTCCATGTGCTCAGATTTGGGTGCGTGATAAAAAACCAGAGCTGGTGGAAATAGTTAAAGCCCTCCGAAAGGGGCCTCTTTCGTATTCTTATGATGATTTTCAGACGTTAAACCACACATAATCAATCAACCAATCAATTAACAACACGCCTACGTTTGTCTGTGGTTAGTAGTCGAATGAAATAAAAGGAGCTTCGACTATCCAATGTAGAGTTTCAGAGCGAAGATTGTATGATTTCGTGAGACAGAACACGTCTGTTTTGATTAGCGCAGGATCTTGTGCGATGTGTTTGGCGTGTTCGCTGAGGGATTGGCTGTATAGCAGTGCTATATTCAGGGTCACTGGCAGCCTTGGTCATCAGCAGTGTTCACGACAGTGTTACCCGGCGTCAAGCGATGGTCACGTTCAGCGTCATTGAGGTAGAGGTTCTGCATGTTGATGCAGCCTGCCCAAGGGACGGGCATGAGTTTCTGTAGGTGCCTTTAACCGCTGCTCCGTATCCACACGTGATTACCTTTAGCGGCTGATGATGTATTTTTTCGTTATTACCCGCAAAACGCTAAGCAAGCTACAGGATCGCACGCAGTTCATTGTGTACGACAGTGGTCTGTGTCGACGTACAGACCTTCCACGACAGATATGGGGCAAAGATGCCCAAGAGTGGGCGAACATTATTGCAAAAGCGTGAGGAGCAGAGAGGTTTGAGGTGAGACGGTGCGCAAGCTGCTGTACGAAAGCTTCCAGCGAACACGAGCATCGCGCATGGGTTAAATCGCCTCCCAGTTTAAGGCCGGATCCCACGTATTTGTTGCAGGGCGCCGGCGTGTGTCGCTTTGACGCGGCGCCGAGCCCTCTTTCATATCGACAGAGAGAGCACGCAGCTTTGTGTATCCGCGCGCCCCCTCTCTGTATAGGAAAAAGGCGCAGCTTTGCGTCAGACTGCCAGGCGCTGACACGCAGTCAATGGATACGTGGCGTCAGGCCTTTAGAGAAAGACTTGTAATGCGGTAGCAAATATATGGACACTCTTAGCTGAACTTCGCCGTCGGCGTCGGCGTGGGCATCGGCGCCGATGTCAGGCACTGGATACGTATACTTATCTATATATATGAAAAAGCATGAGAGAAAAAAAATCCAGAAAAACGACTCCGCACGGAATCGACCATGGGACCTCCGCGCGTGAATGCGAGGTGTTAATCATAGAGCCACTGAGGGGTACCTCCATCTGCTGTTAATCACCAAGCTACTTATATTTACCACTTACCGCTTTTGGTAGGCATCTTGGGGGGGGGGGGGGGAGAAACTATCGTGTTTTAGCATTATCAGCGAGATGGCGCAATGAGCACGTGGCGGCTCTGATCTCTCACGCGTACTTTGGACCACGTTGAGGATGAGAGTGGACGATCTTTCACGCGCCCTTATCTTTCATTAGGGAGGAACAATTTTGCTGTAGGAACGTGGCGCACAAACGTCTCTGCAGTCGTTGCACAGTTTTCGTTTATGAAAAAAGCGCGGTTTTCAGACACACCGAAGTAACAATTCAGTTGCCTATTCGTTTTCATCTGTACCTGTGAGTACGTTTTGTACGTGATTTGTGCCTTCTATTGCGGACAGTGACAGGAGCAAAAACAATGAAGTCAAGGGTGTGGTGGACAGCAGGTGGCTGTGGAATCACTAAGGGAAAAGACATCACACGGTGTAAGGGGCAGCATGTCACCACCGTAGTTCCCCCCGCATACATATACCAACAGCACAGAGGTTACTAGAAGAATAGAGACAAACTTTGTAGCAACTCAGTGTATATAACGACATAATTTTTCTTAGAAGGTGCATTGATGTAACATGCAATGCTACTAATCAGCTAAACTATCTTAAAAAAACTGTTTCATTGTTAAATTCAAGGCTCTGAGTAAACAATGTTCGATGTTTGAAATACACCACGTAGAGGGAAACGTGCTCTGTTTTCCAGAAATAAAACAATTCAATTCCCACTCCGTTCCATGCAAGAAACACTTCACTCCATTCTCATTCCGTTTCTCCAAGAGCTGCCCCATTGTATTTCCATTCCATTCCGCAGTTGCGAGAATGCGGAATGATTTGTAATTATTGCAATTCCGGTGTGGCAACTCCGCAACAATGTTTTCTTTCTATCTATCTATCTATCTATCTATCTATCTATCTATCTATCTATCTATCTATCTATCTATCTATCTATCTATCTATCTATCTATCTATCTATCTATCTATCTATCTATCTATCTATATATCTATCTATCTATCTATCTAACTATCTATGTACCTATCTATCTATCTATCTATCTATCTATCTATCTATCTATCTATCTATCTATCTATCTATCTATCTATCTATCTATCTATCTACTTCTTGACGCTTTTTTGTTTATCTTCTTATTGTAACGTTGTGGTTTTATTGTTATTGTTTCGCACAACGTGCAGGTTTGATTTGGGAGGTCCAAGGAGCCATCTCAGGGGAGATCCGAGAAGCCATATTGAATGGTCACAGCTTCAGACCACTTAGCCCAAAATATAACGAGTCTTGGCTCTCAAACACAGTTCCCAAGAAATACACAAGCTGCACACAAGTCCCTAAACAAAAGCTCACAAGCACTCAAGTCCTACATAGAGAGCGTGTCGTGGAACGTCAAAGAAGTGGCATCTCACCAACGTCGGTAAGTAGGAGCCTGGGCGCGAAGCACGGTGTTGATGGCGTCACTGTAGTTGGCATCGGCGTTGGGCAGCCACACAAACCATAGGAGACGCAGCCTTCCTAGGCTGCCGGTGGGCGCTGCACAAGCTGACGCTGCATTTCACGCACTGACCTCGAGGTAGAATCCCGGCCGGACAGCCTCACCTGAGCTCAAGCCCGAAGATCGACAGCTAAGGCCTGTTCGCGAGCACGGGAACGTCAGCGCAGCCTGGTAGCCCTGGGGTCCTCCAGGTCGCCGGACGATGGAGGTAGGAGCCTTGGCTCAGGTCTGAAACCCGGCTGTCCTGATGCATGGCTCGTCTTCCTCTGACCACCACTGCGACTCTTCTTACTCTTCCCGGTCTCGCACGTGCTTCAAACAATCGCCACGTTGAACTGATGCTTCAGTCATTTATTCGTTTGTTCACATCCGTGCCAGCTTTTTCCTCGTTGCCGAGTTGCAACTTGGTTCATGGCGGGCACTTCAAATTTCGCTCACTCAATCAAATTCAAGTTCTGTGCACTCCAACCACTTTCAATTCCGCACACTTCATCATACGTATATTGGCACATAATTAAATTAGCGTGAGACAGCATTAGTGCAACGACGAACAGGTGGTTACATGAATTGCGTGATAATGTCCTCGCACACGTCATCAAACTCTATCATTCCTTCAAGTGTAGCACGTATTCCACAGCGAAATTCATTTCCTGGTAGTGCCATTTATGAGGACATAAATAGCAAAGACGGCTGGTAAGCTAACATATAAAAATTCAGAGCATTTTGACATCACTAAAGCATTAGTTATGAAGAAAAAAATAGCAGTATTCAATTTGCGATTATTCAGTTATGTATCAATGAAGTTACTTTTGCAATCATTTCTATGGCAACCACAGTGCAGCTGGAGGGTTCAGCATGATAGGAAAGACATCTATCTGCCCCCAATCACCTACGTCATGCCACCCACACAGGCGGACACGTAGAAACATCCGTTAAGTGGTATGTTTTATTCTCTGCAAAAACCAAACCATTAACGGTTACTCGTTGAAAGCCTCACACAATTTGTCTTACCATTAAGGGCCCTAGTTATTTATTCCTAACATAATTTTCTCTGCAAATATACATGATTTTTTTCATAAAAGTAAACGCTTCAATTTCACGGTTTGATTAGGAGTGTGACGCACTTCATCAAAAATGTGACATATCAATTTTAACACACGTACCGTTGTTAGCGCGGACCACAATTGCAGTTCCCTCGTTCGTGCGGGAGACCAGAGACAGCAAGTGCTGCATTTGCTGAAAAAAAAAGCGATTGCGCAATATTTGCAAAATGAATTCATGTTTCGATCTCAAGAGAATTGTGGTACTCATGAAGGTGACCTTACCTTTGCTCCTTTGCTATTCTCTTATCTAATGCGAGCAGTATTCAGCTCCTTAACGCACTTGTTAACACATAAGTATTGCACGATTTAAATTATGTAAACTTGTGCGCACGTTGGCTTCTCGTTGGGAAATATCTTTCGAACTCTTAACACCAATGCTGTTTAGGTTTTCCACCTCTGAATGCAGCATGGTCAGAAAACTATTGCCATCGCGAACGGCACACGCTTCATTCGTTCTTTTCAGCATCTCGCGCCTCACTTTCCGAACGCGTGCTGCCAACGCACGCTCCCTCAGTACGCCGATTGGTCAGGCGTGAGTTTCAACAACTCGTAAAAGTGAGCAATGGTGCAGAGAGCGAACTAAAAATAAAGGAATAAAAACAGAAAACTAATAAAAAGGAGAAAATTAGAAAGCATTATGGAGAAATAAACAGACCAAGACAAAAAAAATTCACAATAGAGAGAGGGAGCACACAGCACATGTTTATTTATTTATTCATTGATTATTCATTTATTCGCTTCAGCATAATGCCGCCTTGAAGGGCTATTGCAGGAGTGAATGCAAGATGAAAAATTGCAAATGCAACGCTTATGTACAGATCATGAAGGTCAATAGTTTTTTATTGGACAAAATAAATTTATCACAAGGCAAAGATTTCATATCTTCAATAGGGCGTAGAAAGAAATGTTTTGATAAATTTGTTCGGTATTAGAAAGAGACATGTTCAACTCATGGTGATGTCTGGTGGAACTTGGTTGGGCAGGTGTGATACAGCCAATGAATAAGGACAGTCAATGAGAGCGTAAGAAAAAGCTTTATACCTTCAATGTGACGGCGAAAAGAAAGTGTCGTAAGCTGAAGGCTCGGAAGGTGAGAACGAGGTGGAAAATACCTCGCGTAGCGGCGATATTTAGAATGTGCTGCTTTCCTCTGCGCAGATTATTTTTTCTTGATGTGAGATATTTCTGAGGACTCCATATGACACCAGCCGTACTCAAGTATATGATGAACCAAGGTTCGATAAATCAGGAGCTGTGTGTTAGTTGCGGCCAAGTCTGGAGTACATTGTACGTACAACCATATTACATGGGAACTTTAAGACTTTTTTTGGGCCAAGTCGGTTCATAATGATAAATGTAATTTTAGCGTGCAAACACCAACACACCACAAGAAAAGAGAAGACATACACAAGCGTTGACTATCAGCTGGCCTCATTTAGGGAATTGCAAATGCATATATACCTGCAAGGCAGCCTTAGATATAATCGCCGCGCAATAGTTGTAAAACAGACACAGAAAAGTGTAATCAGAGTTGAAAAATGAATCAGTGCGGTAGCAATAAAATGGAATAAACTGAGATGGGCGCAGGAACAGAAACGTGTCAGTTAGGCAATGGTGAGCATATTTTTCAGATATAATGGGCTTCCACAGCGAACAGCGCTTACTCATTGTTGCTCCTGCCAAGGATCCACGTCGCTTGAAATGGTGCCTCACAATTGCAGCAAGCGTTAGTATGAGCCACAAGATGAACTCATTTATTTGCATTCTTGTTATTCTTTTGCGAGTGTTTCGCCAAGCTGCTCGTTGAAGCATATAGATTTTACTCTGGTGGAAATTCATTTTGATCATCACATAAAATGGTATTAGACTTTAGCAATTCAATTGTGTGTTGTAGCTTGTATTCAATAATTTTGATTAAATTTTTCGTAAAAGAAATGGGCCTGAATTTTCAATGAAAACTGCTTTATTTCAGATTGAAAAAAAAGGAGCACTTTGGTAGACTTCTGTGTTGCAGTGATAATCAAGGTTAAAAAAATATCGGAAATAATAGTTATAAATTGACTGGATCATAATGAATATCTCATTTGCGGGTCTTCTTCAGGTGCTGCATTTTTATTGCGATCGCAATTATATGAACACTCACGGCTGGAGCGTGCCACCGGCGTCGGCGGGACCGTTATTCGCCTCTCATGTATACGTATCCTATATATACAAACGCAAGAAATACAAATAATCCAGAAAACACTTCAGCCCCGTACCTACATGTTAAACTAAAAATGTCATCCAAAGACGATAGTCTTCTGTCTGGAGAGAGGGCATAGAATAAAACATTTATTTCATGTTTTGCGCCAAACGCATTGCCAAGTGGGATTCTGAAGACGCTGCGTTAAAGTCCCTAAATCATGGGGCCTTTCGCTGAATATATCATTAGGGCCATCTGGCGGTAATCATAAAGAACCAAAGAAATCTTCGAGGGGGTTTTTTGTAGAGTTCAATGTAGGTCGCAACACCGCATCATCTTGACAAAGCGTAAAAAAATTCGCTCTTTCTTGCATTGCATCCAATTGTCAGCGCAGCGTAATGCACGCTTCAATTTCTATAATTACTTATATAGGTTTTCTTTACAATGACAGATGGTTCACTGGTAAGAAGCGAGGCTTGAAAATCACAAAAAAACATTTATTTTCAGCTGCCAGTCACCGTGAGCATTGAGTTTCCTAAAATTAACTAGACGGGGTTTTGGCGCTCCTATCGTTCAGCGACCATAGGAATGGTGGGTAGTACACACATTTGCCTAGTCTTCCTACTTGCGGGTGGTGAATCGGCTTCGTTTATTGCTGTGTTATGGTTTTTTTTTTGAAAGAAAGATTAAACATTTTTGAACTTCGTGACCGGATTTGGAAAGGTAGGCTTAAAAGAATAAGATGGTGAAGGTCAACTGCTGAACATTTGCTAATATTTGTTTCGTAAGGAAACAGTTCCGAGCCACACGAACACACATGGAGCCAAAAGCAGGTCAAAGTACGAGTGTTAGACAAATGTGTGTACTACACAATATTCCCATGCTCGCTGAAACACCCTGCGTTGCAGCTCCCATAGACACCAGCGCCAGAGTTCCCTCTAGTGTATATTAGGAAACTCTATGCCCGTGAGTGTGGACTTGCTCGTGGAAGGAGGCGCTTCGTCTTCACTGTTTTGACCTGGCGCTGGGGTTCTTTGAACATACTCGCGGCTGTCACTGGTCCTGTTAAGCAGGGAGGCAGTTGCTGGGCTAATTCCAAGGCCTGGAGTATTGGCCCCCCAAATGCATCACGAAAGCGCGGACAATTAGGATGTGGTACGTCATATTTAGCACGCCAGCGAATGCTGGCTGTGGTCCAAAGATCGAGCCAGAGCCGAGAGATGATAAACAAAACAAAAACATATTCTCAGATATTGCAGGCAAAGAACACACTATTATGCACACTCGGCAATAATTCAATGCAATACATCACGACTCAAACCGCGGGCTACATAAATTGACTAGATACACTCCAAGCAACGAACGCAAACAACAAAACGCACTAAAATGCATACTCATGCATTAAACAACCAAGACATCTAAAGACCAAGAATCTCATCAACTTATTCAGTCCAAAGCTCTTGGTACATTGTTTGAATGATACTCTTCCAGAAATCACTCACTGAGAGTTCAGTGCTGTTGTCGTTTCGCTGCCACCGAAGTTTCTCTTCCAGGATACCTGACGTCGTCAAATGCCTGCACCCCAAGCACAAGAATTCTTCGCCAGTAACGCGCCGGCCTCTCACGCGTTGTGGCTGCAGAAATCCTTTTCATCTCCTGTTTGTCAATGAGTACAAAAGCCTTCGCCGCACGGAAGAACAACTCTACGCACACTGGCGCAACACTTCCTTCATCTCCTCCTTACCACTCTCCACTGCTCGCTTAAAGGAACACTAAAGTATTTAGTCGACGCGGATTGTTGGAACCGTGGTCCAGAAACCTCGTAGCGTTACTTTTGTGGCAAGGAAGGGCCCATTTTGAAATAAAATCAGGTTTAGTTCTCCGCATCAGGTTAGCGCACTCCAAACATACCCGCCTAAAGAAGTGGGCCGACTGGACCGTCTCACGTCACTGCTGCCATGCAAACGTTGCCGGGCATTACTGCACTAATAGCAGCAGACCGGAAAGCAGTGGGAGCCGCAGGAGGAACAACTGAAAATGATCAATTTCTCGCCATTGGCTTCAACATTGCAGACGCTTCTGTTTCCACTGCGCCCCGCTAGGTAGCACCAGCTATCCTGTGTAACCGCGCGAAAATCTTATTTTTGAACCACTCACGCCACAAGCCATGTTACCGTCTGGTGGTTTTTTTTCATGAATCAAACAGAAACGAACAAGCAGGATTTTATAGCGTCTCGCTGAAGGTTCTTTATTTAGAACTGTTCGATCAATTACTAGTGATTTATTGTAGGTGGTCCGTTTTACGCTATGGGGATCATTTTGAAAATGTCTTGCTGTGGCACTTGTGTTCTTGTTCACTTACCTGAATTTCTCGAAAAGTAGGGCACTGTTGTTGTTAACACTGGCGTTTTTAATGTTGTCATACATTGACCTTTCTTTCTAACGTAAATTGTTATTTGACTTCAGCGTCCTTTTATTTACCTTCGCCCTGGCTTTGAGAAGCTTCTAAATGTTTTGTTGGCGCGCGACACAGCTAAGGCAGGGGATGTGCCAAGACGTTTCGAAAACTCTCCTCGACCCGTGACGCAACCAGAAAGTGACTCGCGCTTTCCTTCTCGATGCTTCTGGTATTCACTCGGCGATAGGTGTGAGTATGTTGGTAAGCGTAGCGACACTTTTGAGTGAGTGAGATGGCGCGCCCGAGGAGTCCTTCGGTGCTTACTTTCTTCTTTTACGTTGACCTTCACACGACAATCTGGCGCATGCTATTTGTCGTCGTCTCCGAAATTCGGCGACGCGCGCTTTCTTGAGCACCCATTTGTGACTCGTTCCAAGTGACCAAGTGACTCGTTCAGCTCGAAGGAATAAAGCTTTTGTATCGGCCTTGAGGTAACAACCCCTCGCTATTGTTGGATCACGCGCAAACGGACATGGTCATCTGCTCCTTTGTA